GGCCAAAACAAATGGCTTGGCGGGCCAATTTTGGCCCGCGGGCCCCACTTTGGGCACCTCTGGTTTAGGGTCAGGTAGGTAGGTACCTGTGAGGTTAGTTTTAGGGTCAGGTAGGTAGGTACCTGTGAGGTTAGTTTTAGGGTCAGGTAGGTAGGTACCTGTGAGGTTAGTTTAGGGTTTGTGGTCAGGGTTAGGCTGGTTAGGTTAAGTGTTTATAATTTTAATAAGTGAACTGATTGTTTGTTTGTTTCTTAATGAAATTGTGATTTAGAATAATGAAACAGAGGAATTTATTATTGAAACATTAAACAAGTTTTTACTTATTCCCATTCCCTTTCAAATATGGCAATTTTATCATTTTTCTTTTGTTTTGTTTTCCATACTTTTGAAATAAACTAAACTAAAACTTGTGATCAAAACTGAAACTTTTGTTATTTAGTTTTTCTATTTCCATACTGAGCAGCAGTACTTTAGTCTTGTCTGCATCAAATGTTACTTTCTTATGTTTCTTTTTCAACCTCCATTTGTGTTGCCCCCCTGGATGGGCGGAGCCCTCAGCATGTGCCTACACTGCCTGTGGCAGGGCCGGCACTGTCTTTGGTAATTTAACATTTGATGACACAACTCTTTTAAATCGTCTAATTAAGGAGCTGCAGTGAAGGACTTGTGATTAATTACAGCTGAAACTGGACTCAGAACATCTCAGCAGTAAAGTTAAAGCACCAGAATGGAGAACTGGGTCGAGTTTAAACCGGTTTCTTTAGGTGTTTCTCCTGAAAGTGCAGAAACTGTCGTGTTCAGGAGGCCTAACCTGAGCTGTTCTGTTTCAGGTCAATGAGGCTCCGCCTCCTAAAGAAACCAGGTGAACACACAAGAGCAGGGATGAGCAACTGGCAGGCCGCGGGCCACTTTGGGACCACCTATGAGGCCCCGCCCACATCCAAAGCTCTCAAAGCTGCGCTCAGAATCTAAGGGGAACTACCTGTTGATGTTTTAATGTGAACTTCTGTTTAGTCTCAGAGCCGCTGTCCCTTTAACACGCTGCACAAAGCTAAATATGAGAGGTTTACTGAAGTCCAGAACATAAAGAGCAGAACCAGGCAGGAATCTGGACTCAACGAGTCTTATCATTACACTTGTGTGTTTAGTTTTAGTTTGCTTCAAACATTTTGTTTGAACAGCTGCCTCCATTTCAGCACAAATTACTGCATGTTGCTTTATTAAACACACAGAAATTGTTTTAAAATGACAGTTTTATTACATGTGTGTAAGTGTGCAGCGTTGTCAACAAACAAACTGTGGCCCCTCCCTGATGAGACCCCCTCACTGCTCCGGAGCTAACTCCTCAGTCAGCTTTTATCTTTTGTTCTGAGTTATTTCAGCAGATTTTCATAAAAAAGGTCCTCAGCCAGGAAGTGAAACACTTCCTGTCACCTGTGATGTCTCAATCAGACGATGAAACAGGTTTTAAATCTGGACTCAGACCTGACCCCAGACTTGGACTCAGCTGTGCCTTGATCAGAACCAGGACTTATCAGGGGTTCAGTTCCTGCAGGACGGAGCGTCGGCTCTGAGCTTCAGCTTGTTTTCACACGTCTCCGGAAACAGATCAATAAGTTACTTTTTTTTGTCTCGTTCAGAAGTTTAAAAAGTCTGATGGAGGTCGTGGAGCAGATTCAGACTCAGCTCAGAGTTTCTGACGTTTCAACCGTTTCTGCAGAAACAAGAAAACATTTTAATTCCATTAAAATCAGAGATAAATCTGCTGCTGATGGAGCCGGAGCCTCAGAGGATCACATGTTTGGTTTCTCTGTGAACGCGGGAATTTTCTACTCCAGCCTCCTCTCACAGACCAAAACCACATTTTAGGTTAATTCAGTTTGTTTGTCTCTGTGTGTCCCTGTGATGGACAGGAGACATGTCCACGTGTCCAACAGCTGACCCTCAGTCACTAAACACCTGATAAAGATTTTTTTCTGATTAAATTTATGTTGCATGAATTATAAACAAAATGTAATAAAATTAAATGTTTTTTTCTGTTAGTTTTGGTTCTGTTTTAGAAAAATTGTGTAAGTTTGAAATTTGTAATCGGAGATTTTTTT